AGAAACAGATCTAAAATAGAGGTGAAGTTATTGGTTTTGAATTTTCTAGTTTTTCAGACAGTTGCCATGATAAATATGTAAATAATATATATCGATAAGTAGATGATGATTATATATTAACCTATTTATTGTTTTAAATCGAAATTAATTATCTTGAACCTGGAAAAAATAATCAATATATGTCAAGCATATGATTATACTTCATGTCTAGAATCATGTAAGTCGGGTATATGATTCTTAAACATAATAATTTGTGCACATAATTCATCTTGCTTTTTTTTTGCGATAATTCTCTTTACTTTTATATTTGCCTATATGTTTATTGTATACATTGTATTTAGATCTATTTGGCTCACCACAATCTCTACAAAGAGTAGGTATTAGAGAATTACGATGAATATAACATCTTTCTGATTTACTACCTCGACCACAGATTTTTCCAGTTCTATGAATATATGAGCAATGGTATAATGCCATCATGATTTGGAATAATTAATTTTATTTTAAAGATTTATCTATCAATTATTATAATTTCAAAAACACATACTTTTTGTCAAATCAAACAACACGTATATACAAATCAATAAAATAAGTTTGTCTAGTGAAGCAAAAAAATATCTTTGTGAATTGTTACAACAACAGTGCTTAAATCAAAAGTTAGTAGAATATAATGAAGCAAAAGACTTTTTATAGGTTTAACTAATCTTTATTATAAACCCGGCCATAGAGAACATATATTTTATAAATACTGGCTTGCATCTAATAGCCATACTAATAAAAATGATACTGCGCTTTTAGATGCATATCAACCTGAAGAGATTTATTCTCAATATATAATTTGGACGGCAGAAAAAGGTTATATAGTGATTGATTATCCTTCCAAAGTTTATAGAATATCTGATACTCATGAATGTATCGATGGAAACCAGCCCCTCTGCTTAATTATTGATATTGATACAAAGCAAAAACCAGATCCTTCTGATCCTAAACTTCCTTCTCTAGATAGTGAAAAAATTAATCATAAAGATTTGATATCTAGAATTTTAGTTGCTTGTACAAATGCACTAAGCCTTATTCCAGGATGTATACCTTTCTTAAATTCTTTTGCATTAGCAAGTTCATCGAACATCAATAAATGTAGTTGGCATATTGTCTATTCTTATGCTTGATTTATAGATTATAGAAAACTTAACAGTTTTACTGAAAAAGTTATAAAATTAGTAGGAAATCCTTACTCGAAATTTATTGATGCTGGCCTTTCTAAGTCACGTTTTAGTCTTCGACTTCTTGGATCAGCAAAAAAAAGACGTATAAAAAAACCTGCTATTTCTTCTGTTAGCAAGGGATTTAAAAATCTAGAGGATTATTTAGTCCAGCCAAAAAAGAATTATCCTGAAATCTTGCCTCGAACCTTTTCTTCTGAAGAGCCAGTAAAAGAATTCCAACCTATTGACGATGAAAATGCTTTGAGTAGAGGAGCCAATCTAGTTATTGCAAAATATAGATGGCTCCAGATTGGAAGAATCGAGAAGGGATTCATTAACTTTCAAGCACAATCTGTCAAAGAATGCTCCATATGTGACAT